ATGGGTGTTGAATTTTGTCAAATGCTTTTTTCTGCATCTATTGAGAGGATCGTATGGTTTTTGTCCTTGACTCTGTTAATATAGTATATTACATTTATAGACTTATGTATGTTGAACCATCCTTGCATCCCTGGAATAAATCTGACTTGGTCAGGATGTGTGATCTTCTTGATGATCCTCTGTATTCTGTTTGCTAGTATCTTATTAAGGATTTTTGCATCTATATTCATTAAGGAGATTGGCCTGTAGTTCTCTTTTTTTAGTTGTGTCTTTCCCTGGTTTGGGAATCAAAGTAATACTTGCTTCCAGGAGTGAATTTGGAAGTATTGCTTCCCTTTCAATTTCATTGAAAATTTTAAAGAGTAATGGCAGTAGTTCTTCTCTAAATGTCTTGTAAAATTCAGCAGTGAATCCATCAGGCTTTTCTTTGTTGGCAAAATTTAATTACATTTTCAATTTCACTGATTGTAATTGGGGTGTTTAGAATTTTTTTATCTTCTTCGTTCAACTTTGTTAATTCACAAGTATCTAGAAATCTGTCCATTTCTTCTGTGTTTTCCATTTTATTAGAGTACAGGTTCTCAAAGTAGGAATTGACAAGCCTCTGGATTTCTGTTGGATCTGTTGTGACTTCACCTTTTTCATTCCTAATTGCATGGATCTGAGCCTTTTCTTTTTTGAAAAGGTTAGCTAAGGGTTTATCGATTTTATTCTTTCAAAAAAACAACTCTTCAATTCATTTATTTTTTTGTATCATTTTCTTAGTTTCCATTGCATTGATTTCTGCTCTAATCTTTATAATTTCCTCTCTTGTATGAGCTTTGGGTTTTTCTTGCTCTTCTTTTTCTAGGAGCCTAAGATTCATCATTAGGTTGTTTATTTGAGCTCGCTCTGTTTTCCAGGTGTGGGCATTCAATGCTATGAATTTTCCACATAGACCTTCTTTCACTGTGTCCCACAGATTCCTGTATGTTGTATTGGCATTACATTTATGTGTAAAAACTGTCTAATTTCTTCTTTAATTTCCTCTGTGACTCATTGATTATTCAGGAGAGTGTTGTTCAATTTCCATGTGTTTGTGAAGTTCCTACGGTTTCTTATGCTATTGATCTCCAGCTTGATTGCACTATGATCTGATAATATACAGGGATAACTTAGATTCCTTTGCATTTATTCAAACCTGCTCTATGAACCAGTATGTAGTCTATCTTGGAGAAGGATCCATGTGTAGCCAAAAAGAATGTATATTCCGATTTTGTTGGGTAACCAATGCTTTTCTGAACTGTCAGATCAGATTCTGAGCAGGAGCTGTGACTCTGTTCCCTGTCCACAGGAGAGGAGTCTGGGGACAGTGGGTTTTCCCCCTTCTGTCATCAACCTTAAGGGCAGGAGGCTGGCAAGCTGCCCAAGCAGGCTCTGGCATCTGCAGTTATCCTGGTGATTCCCATCAAAAACAACTTTGTTATGTTTTGTTGGCATTTGGGGATCATAACTCTGTGAAGCAGAGTGGATTCCTTGAGTGTAAAAACCACCTGCCAACAGAGAGACCAGGGGTCTAGCCCGGAGTTGAGGTCGAAGAAATGGATTTGACGTCATTTTTAGGAAATCCACTCTCAGGCTGCCTTGGTTTGGTATGGTTTGGTTTGGTCAGCAGCACATGCCAGCTGGGCTATGGGGAGGGAATGAGCACTTTGGAACTTTGGGCCCCTTCCTGTGGCCAGGTTCTGCGAATCTTGTCCCTGGAAGGTGGGGTGAGGGAACTGAGAGGCAAGGCCAGTGCCAGGCAGAGAGAGAGCCGCACAGGGGCTCCCGGCTCCCGGCATAGCATGGAGTGGGGGTGGCCTGCTGGGACCTAGGCAGAAGGAGAGACCTTCTCCTCTAACAAAAATCCTGTCGTCCTCCCCACTGTGTCCTCCCTGGGAAAGGCTGACCTTCCAAAGAGGGTGACCCAGGATCCCAAGCTACTCCATCACATTCCCAGCTAATCTATTCCTGCCTGAGTGATTTCTGACAAATTATTTAACCTCCCAGGGCGTGATGGCCTGTGTCTCACAGGGTTAGCATAAGAAGTCATTGGTCAGTGTAAAATGAGTGGGGAGGTACCTAGAATGATGCCTGGATGGCATGAGCCCTTGGTAAATTTTCTTTTCTTTCCCCTTTTCCTTGGTGAGGAGAGATAGCACACCAGCCAAGAGAGCACCCCGGTCTCTCTCTATTCGGCCAATGTGCAGGAGCCAGGCACCAAGGACACAGTGAGAACAGAGCAGGGTCCGGTGTCCCTCAGAGGACAGAAGTGTTATACAGTGTGAGCCACAAGACAGTAAACCAATAAATGTGCAATGTGCTTGCCATAAGTGCCCTGGGGGCAAGTGAGGTAAAGGGGACGAGAGTGTGGGTGGCCTGGTACAGATCCAGATGGCATGGAAAGAGAGACCCTGATTGACAGCTGGAAGGAGGGCCCAGGTGGGAGAGGGAGGAGGAGCAGTCCAGGCAGCAGGGGCAGCCAGTTGCCGAGAGAGAATGAGCAGGCCGGGAGTGCTCACGGGACAGCAGGCCAGCAGCGTGGCGGCACAGAGGGATGGAGATAGGGCAGGAAACGGGCGATGAGCAGGGCTCACCTAGGGCCTGGCAGTACGAGTTTGGCCTTGGCGGTGAGTGGGGTGGGAACCAATCAATGTGAGGGTGGAGCTGAGGGGTGACGGGTGGGTCCCCCACTGATAGATGGCACAGGCAGAGAAGACCCCAAAGACACAGTGACTGTCTCCTCCCTGGCCCTCTGCCCTCGGCAGGCCTGGTCTGGCTTTGCTGACAGCCAGCACACACCTGCCTCCTTCCGCAGGACCTTGGCACCAGGCTCACGCAGGGAGAGGAAGAACACATCTCCAGGGGCCTCCAGGGAGCCAGATAAAGCTCCCAGTCAGGCTTCTGCACACGTGTGTATGCCCACGCATGCATGTATACAGGTGTATGCAAGTGTGTGCATGCATCCCTGAATGTGTGCGTGTATCTCTGTATGTGGATACATGCATATGTTAGTGCATACATGTGTGTGTGTGCACGTGCACATGTGCAGTTCCTGGGACATTGGAGAGACGGTGGGATTCTCTCTGGGACCCCACAACTCCACTTCATTGACCGCCTGAGCCACCATCCTCCCAGGTCTGCTCTGGTGACACTGGTGTCTCTCCGTCCTCTGTGACCAGTGCTTCTCCATCCCTGTGCTCTCCTGCCCAGAGCCCGCTTCCCCAGGGCTGAAGAGTCTGCTTGGTGTCAGACAACTTACTTCCCTGCCCCACAGCAGGGCCGCAACACCCAATCGTGTCTCAGACCGAGACTCGTGAGGACAGAGTTGGCCGCTCCGTAGTCCCTCGCTGGGCAGCGGCAGGTGCCACTCACGGACCCCACTGCTTTGACCCCAAGCCCGGCTTGACCTCAAGCTCTTTGGCCTGGATGAGCGAGGTAACGGGAGCTTCCCTACTCTGCAGTCTCCGGCTTTCCCCCAGGGAACTTGGATTTTATAACTCTGATGAGGAATATGGGCAACTGCCATCCATCTACTGGGCAGAGGGAGAGAACGGGCAAGAGAAGGTGAATATGATGGAAGTACGATGCACGCGTTTTGGAAATGTCACGATGAAACCCATTAACTTGTACAATTAGTGTGCGCTCATGGTCAGACTTTTAAAAAGAGAGTGGAAGTAACTACTGGCTTCAGTACAATAGGCCCTGCTCGAGTGGTGCCCAGGGTGTCACCCTCTAGCACGCAGACCAGGTGGTCCGTGCCCAAGGGAAGGAGGGGAGGGGACATGGTCAGCTGCGGAGTCCCCTGCCTCAGGTTGTGGGGCCTCCGTCAGGTGGGCCAACCCCGCGACCCTCAATTACCCCTTGGCTGCCGCACGACAGGGTAGTCATGAGGACCCCATGACAGCACGTGTGTGCGTGTTCTTTGAAGTATATGCAGTGCCCTGCGCAGGAAAGGGGTGACGATGAGGAGAGCTTTCATCCCGCTGATTACTTTGCACTTATCTGAAAATTGAAGTCCTGCCGACTCCAACTCTGCAGTCCTGCTAGTGCTGACAGCCAGGCAGAGGCATAACTGGGGTGGAGATCAAAGCCAGACATGGCCCTGAAAGTGCCTCGTGGAGCAAGGCATGAGGGTGGGTGACGGTGGTCCTGGTTCTGAGCTATCCAGCCCCACCGCACCCCAGGGCCAGGCTCAGACTCTCCAGTGCCGTACCTATTGCACCTGTCAGATGTGGGCTTTTGCTGCAATGCCAAGCGGGTGGGTGCAGAAGAGGCACAAGCCCAGGCTAACCTTGCTTTAGAACCACCTGCTCTCGAGGTAACTGATCCCGTCGCACGAGACACCCTCACTCTTGGGAGATCTAATCTGGTCTCTTAAGAAAGACGTGATTCCATTCATGAGCATTGAGCCCCTTGGCCTAATTATCTCCTAAAATCATCCCCCCACCTCTCAATACCGTCATATTGGAGTCACATTTCAGTGTGACTTTGGTGGGGACAAAGTGCGTCGAAAGCACAATGGTGCCATACTCGTGAGTGTTGTTATTGCTTACAAGTTCCCCAGAGAGGCAAGGCATTCGGCAGTCAGCGGCCATGTGACATAGCCAAACAGGGAGATGCTGGAGGCCTGGGCCTGCAAGGAGATGGGAGGTCAGTTCCCTGACTCCTTCACAGGCAGGAGGAGAAGAGCGAAAAGGAGAGAGAAGCAAGAGAGTAGAGGAAGTGGAAGATGGGACCTACAGAAGCCGGGGAGAAGCAAGATCAGAGGAAGGCGTGGTGGAACGGGAAGTGGGCAGCTATTTCTCCCCAGAAGACCTGAAATTCTCTGGGAGGAGTCTGGGCCAGTCATTCAGGCTGCGTCTCCCTAAGCGTGGGGCTTCTGACTCCCCGGGGCTGTGCGGACCCTCGAAGCCGGGAGAGCCTCCTGTGGGTCCCGCGCACCTGCCTGACTCCCGCTTTCCTCTTCTCCTCCCCAGGGTTCACGGAGGCATTCAACGTGGACACCAGGAGGCCGCGGGTCATCGTGGGCCCCAAGACCTCCTTCTTCGGGTACACGGTGCAGCAGCACGACATCGGTGGCAAGAAGTGGTGAGTGAGAGCAGCCGCCCCACCCGCTTCCCAGTCTGAGCCGAGGCCTGCGCAGCCTCGCCTCTCACCTCTCACATAGATCTTAGGGTGCAGGCGACTGGGAGGCTGGGCGCTCACCCTCACCGTGATTCCCTGCACGGTCGGTCTCTCACCGGAAGTCCCCTCTTGTACCCCTGGGACTGTGTGTCTCGTCAGTGGGGATGGCACCTTTGCTCCTGCCCTCTTGGAGAACTGTTGGGGTCTCTGGGGGGAGAGGGTGACTGTGCTCGTGTGGGGCGAAAGGAAGTGGTGATGGTCACCCCGAGCTGGGGGACAGAAAGATCCCCACGGACACTGACTGCAAATGCTTTGCCTCTCTGGGAAAATCGCAAGTCGTAACAATGCCCGTGAGTGTGGCACCACCACGCTTTCGATGTGCTTTGTCCCCACAAAGCTCCGGCTGCAATGTGACCCCCTGTGCCGGTGCTGAGGTGGGGGAGCCTCTCGCAGATAATCGGGCCGGGGCTCCACCCTCACGATGGATTCGTGTGTTTAAGAGACCAAAGTGCGTCTCTCAAGAGTGAGGTGGGTCTTATGGAACCAGATCAGGATGATCAAGAGGAAAGAAAGATCCTCCTTCAGTTTTTAAGAATAACTTTCCTGAAGCATATTTCATCATACAATTCATTCATTTCAAGGGTACAAGTCAATGATTTTTAAGTGAGTTTACCAAGTTGTGCAACCATCAGCACAAATCAGTTTTGTGCACTCATCACCCCGAGCCTTTTCTTTGTGCCCTTGACTCATCCCTCTTGTCCTGTCTAACAGGTTTTTAGCAGCAGAGAACAAGGCCCTCTTTCTTTCCTGGTATAGAAAGGACCAGGCCTCTGCTTGGCCCTGTTAGGAGCCTGTATGAGTCCATTTTCTGAGGCTATAACAAAAGAACTGAGGCTGAGAACTTTAGAAAGAAAGATTTATTTAGCTCATGGTTTTGGAGGATGAAAGTCCCCAGTCAGGTGCCTTCAAGGAGACAGGTGCAGGAGAGATCACATGGTGACACAGAAAGCCAGAGAGAATCAGTGCCAGGGTCACTGTTGTAACTCAGCCTCTCAAGAACTGATTCCAAAAATCCAGCAGGAACCCCTTCTGAAGCAACAGCCCCAGTAACCAATTACCCTGCCCTATGACCCACTTCTTAAAGGTCCATTTAAGCATCATTTATTAAAGAGGCTATCTTTCCTCCAGTGAGGATGGTTGGCTCCTTTGTCAAAGATGAGGTAGCTGAGTATGCCTGCTGTTGTTTCTGCATCTTCTAATCTATTCATTCCAGTGATCCTTGCGTCTGTTTCTTTGCCAGTACCATGCTGTTTTTATCACAGTGGCTTTTTAGTGTAGTTTCAAGTTGGGGATTGTGATACCCCCTGCCATGTTTCTGTTGCCTAGAATTGGTTTTGCTATTTTAGGTCTCTTCTGGTTCCAAATGAAATTTTGGACTATTTTCTCTAGTTCTGTGAAATATACTGTTGGGATTGCAAAGAATCTATACAGCAGTTTTAGAAGTATGGCCATTTTCACTATATTGGTTCTCCCTACCCAATACGTTCTCATTCTTCTTGTGTACATTCAGTGTTAGAATTTATTGGATAAAATGTGGGTATAAGATTAACTTTAGTAGCATCTGCCAAGCATTTCTGTTCCCAAAGTGGTTTAGCAGTTTAAACTCTCTCTAGTGAAGTAAGAGTTCTAGTTGTCCCACACCCTCACTAACACAGGATATTATCAATCGCTCTAATTTGAGCCATCCCAGGTGTGTAGTGGATTCTCACTGTGAGCTTAATTTGCATTTCTCTACTGACACTATTGAGCAACTTTTGTAAATTCACTTCTTGTTTTTTGTTGCTGTTGTTTTTTGTGGATTTTTTTGTTTGTTTGTTTGTTTGTTTGTTTGGGGGTGGGGTTGGTACCAGGGATTGAACTCGGGTCCTTGCGCTTGCAAGGCAGGCCACCGAACCGCTGAGCTAAATCCCCGGCCCTCATTGGTGGTTTTGATACTCATTTTTTGTGATGTGTCTTATCAGGTCTTCTGTTCATTTTAAAAAATAGTGTAGGGCTGGGGATTTAGCTCAGTGGTTCTGCTGTCTGCCTCACAAGCACAAGGTCCTGAGTTTGATCCCAAGTACCAAAATAAATGAATAAAATAAAATAGTATGGTGTGTTCTCTTGTTCATTTACAGGATGATAAAAATCTATTCTGTATACAAATCCTTTTTCAGATAGAAGCACTGGAAATCTATCTCCCAATCTATATCTTGCATTTTTGTGCTGTTAGTGGTACTTTGATGAACAGAAATGCTTATTTTACTGGAGTCTAATTTTTATGGCCGGTAGTTTTTGTGTGTCCAATTTCAGAACTCTTTGTGTCTCCTAAAATCATAAAAATGTGCTCCTGTGTTTTCTTCAAGAAGTTTGGTGCTGTTTTTCTCACTCAGGTAAATGATTCATTTCTCTCCCTCTCCTCTCCCTCTCTCCCTCTCTCTCTCTCTCTCCCTCTCTCCCTTGCTCTCTTTCTTGGTAGTAAAGCAGTAGGGATTAAATCCAAGGCCTCTGTGCTGAGCTACATCCCCAGCCCTGTAAAACATTTTAATTTGAGGCTAGTTCTCCCTAAGTCACTAAACTGCACTTGAATTTGCAAACCTTCTGCCTCAGGCTCCAAGAGTGCTAGAATTACAGATACGTTACCACCATGCACGCAGTCATCTCATTAATTTTTTATGTAAGCTGTGAGATAAAGATTACAGTTTTTGCAGTTTTTAAAAATGGGATATCCTCTTGATCTGGCATTGTTTTTTATGTTTTAAATTTATATTAGTACATATTTATAGGGTATAATGATTATGTTCATCTCAGGGGTTGGCACATGTACATAACAGGACTTAGCTTTTTTACTTCCCCTTCCTCCTCCATCCTTCCTCCCTATTCTCTTACTTTTCCCCATATCTCTTAATCCCCTTCCCATTTGTAAAAAATATATTTTTGGTTTTTTTTAATTTTTTATTTTGAGACAAGATCTGACTAAGTCATCAAATTGCCCAGGGTGTGTTCAAACTTGTGATCCTCCTGCCTCAGCCTCCCAGAGTGCTGAAATTATAGGCTTGCCACTATTTGCTAAAAGATTATTTTCCCCCACAAAATTCTAGTGTCGTCTTGGTTAAAAATGGGGTGACCATATATATAGGTGGATCTATTTCTTGTCTCTATTCTATTTGTCGGTTGATTTAAACTTACGCCAATAAGTCCTTGTTGCTGTAGCTTTAAAATAGGTCTTTAAGTCAAGTAGTATGAGTAGTATGTTTGTTTTTCTTTGAAAATATTTTGTTACATATCCTAGGTCTTTTTTAGTTCTATATGAATTTTAGAACCAGCTTGTCAGTTTTCCCCCAATGAAAATGTGCTGATTTTTATTTGGGTTGCATTGAATTTTATAGACTAGTGAAACCTTAATAATATGGAGTCTTCTAATCCATGAACCCATATATCCCCCTCATTCAGCTTTTAAAATTTCTGTCAATAGTGCTTTGCAATTTTCTGTGTAAAAGCCTTGAGTGTCTTTTATTACATTAATCCTACATATTTATATTTTATTCTGTTGAAATACTCTTATTTTATTTGCCAATTTTTTTATTCTACATAAAAATACAATTGTTTTGTAAATCTGGCTTTTATCTCACAACTTTACTAAAGACATTCATTATTTCTAATAGATTGCTTTAGGATTCTTTTAGATTTCCTATGTATACAATCAGATCATGTAAAATAATAACCATTTTTCTCTTTTCTAATTTTCATAACTTTATTTATATTTCTGCCTAATTGCAGTGGCTGAAATTTTCAGTGCAAAGGTGAATGAAAGTAGTGAAACCAAACATTCTTTTATTTCCACTATCAGAAGGAAAACTTCTGGCAGCCATAACTAAATAATTATATTATTCATCTGTTTATTGTAGATACTTTCAGATTAAAGTTTTCTTCTATTTCTAGTTTTCTGGGGTTTTATAAAATTGTGAACAGGTTTTGAATTTTATCGGATGCTCTTTTTGGCCTTTTCAATACTTAAGATGATTCTGTGGTGGTTCTTTGTTCTGTTAATATGATTAATTATACGGGTTGATTAGTTGAGCTCAAGTTGTGTGTGTTTTGTTTTTATCATTAAATCATACTTGCATTCCTTAGTGTGGTGGTTAATCTTGACTGTCAATCTGATTAGATGGGAAATTAATAAAGTACAATTCTGGATGTGTGTGTGGGTATTTCCAGCGATGATCAGATCATGAGTGCTCTTTTGCTTTTGGCTCCTGCTTTCTATGTTTCTGGCTGCCATGAGCTTTTCTCCACTGTGCCCCCCACCATGCTGTCTGTGCCTTGCAGCCAGAGGACCATGGACTAAAACCTCTGAAGCCGTGAGCTGGAACAAACCTTCCCTCCTCTAAATTGTGGATGTTAAGTATTTTGTCTCAGTGATGAAAAAGTGCAAAACATTTTGGGATAAATTTCACTTGTTGGCCATGTATTCTCTCATGTATACTTAGGAATTTTGTTTTTAGGAGGCATTTGTTTCTATTTTGTTTTGGGGAGGTGTATTTTCATTTTGTAATGCATGTGTCAGGTTTTAGCATTACAGTTATTCAGACTTCATAAAATGTGTTGAAAGTGTTTTCACTTTTACTGTTTCCTGGTAGAACATATGGTTTGTATTATTACTTCTTTAAATGTTTGGGAAACCACTGATACAGCATCTGGAGTTTTCTTTGTGGAAAGAGTTTTAATTATAGATACAACTTCTTAAAGATAATGGACTCTTCAGATTTCTCACTTCTGCAGTTCGGTAACTATGTGTGTAAGTTGCATATGAATTTGTGTTTGTAGAGAATTTGCCTATTTCCTTCAAATTTTATTGACCAAATATTATTTATTAACCTCCTGTTGTATTTTCAGTGAGAGAGGTGTTTGTTCATCCAGTTAAA